CAGATCACAGGCAGCAGGAGGCTGCTGCCCTGCAGAGGGAGAGAGTGGGTGGAAAGAAGCACCTGCATGGGCACAGGGACTGCTGCCTCGAGCCAGTGTAGAGACTGGGCTAATGTAGTCCTTTTATCTTTGGGAAGGGCTCACTGCTTTGCAGAGTGGCCTGCTTGCTGCTGATTTTGGAGGACTATGTAGAATGTCACAATGGGCCCAATGTCTGTATCTTTATCCTCAGGTCTGTGCTTCCATGCTCCCTACAGTAGTAGTCTGATACAGGAGTCTCTGACTGGGTTAATGGTCATGTTATTTCCTTCTGCCCCACCTCCTTGCATGAGTCAGGCTTTAACCTTGTGATGTCTTTCTATTCTTTTCCTCCATCATTACCTTTTGTAGTTATCCCACAGTCCTTAGATATTGTTTTTTCTCTTAAGTCTTTGTTTTATTTCTTTTGTTTTGTTTTGTTTTTTTCTTTTTTGAGGATTCTAGTGCCCTAGACTCAAGTTCAGAGATTCTTTACTCAGTGATGTCCAGTCTACTAATAAGTTCATCTGACACAAGCTATGCGACGGCTATCGTCTGACAGATTCCGGGTAGCTCGGGAAAAGCTCTGAAAGATCAGACTTTCCATGCTAACTTATGTTATGACCTCCCTTTTTTGTATAATCGTAATATCAAAATATTCTGAGCAACTTTCAGCCTACAATTGGATTGCCTCAGCTGCATAAGGCCTGCCTGCCCTGACAAGCAAGCACTGCACCAGGGTGAGAAATTCCTCTGAAGTCAAAAGTGACTTAACAACTGGCTGATCAATAAAAACAAAAGGGCTGTTTCTGCAAAGTCTCTCACTGCTGGACGGAGGAAAACCCAAATCTTATTCTGCTATCTCACCTAGCCTCCTTCTACAGAATTACTTAAACCTCCTACTGTCTGGCTTTAGATATGGAAATTCATCCAGGTTGCCTGTTTTAGAGCTAGTTAAGTTTTTTACCTGCTACACTTCAAAGCAATCCACAAAAGTCTTTCTGGCTAGTCTTTCAGGATTCTACTATCTAGTCTTTAGATAAGCAAATTCACCTACATCTCCTATTCAGAGCAAATTATGCCTAGACCTCAAAGAAACTTACTTAAAACCTTTTAGCAAGCTTCTTCAAAGTAGAAAAACTTACTTGAAACCTTTAGCAAGTTTCTTGATTAGCCAGAAATTTCCTCTTCCTGAGACCCCAGACCATTTTCTTAGAAAAAAGGTGATTGTGATCTTAACCCCTTTCGTATGCTAATGCCATCTCCCTGCCTGCTGGAAATGTATAAAATAAACCTCTGCTAAAGGCAGAGCAGGAAGATTTGCACCCAACTCCGACTCCCGTGTCTTCCTCACTCCCACTCCTCTCCCCCTCTTGGAATCTCCGCACGTCGATGACTGCCCATCTTAGGGTCCTGCCTGTGTTGCCTCCAGACACCTCAAAAGTTGGAGCTGGTCTCCGACATTCATCAACGGATTCTCCACTTGTGTTACAGTGTTTTTGGTTCTTATAGTCCTTTTTAGTTCTTCATTAGGTTGTCCATCTCTTTGCTGATGTGCCTATTTGTTCTTACATGCTGTCTACTTTAACCATGAGAGCCCTTAGTTTGTGAATCAGGTTGTTTTACATTCCTGGTCTACAAATTCCAACTCCTTTGTGTGTCATGTTCTGATGTATACTCTGTCTTTTCCAAATTGTTTTTTGCCTTCTGCTTTGTAATTTTCCCCATATACCAAATCCAATGTACTGGCAAAAGGAAGTTACATAAATTGGTCTTTAGTACATGGTTCTGTAGTCCTTACTGATTAGGTTTGGAGAGGTGTTGTGTTCAGAGAGCAGCGTCCTTGGGTTCCTATCCTTTGAGAAAAGTTTCATCAGAGCTCCCCTTTCCGCAGCACATGGCAAGTTTCTCCAAGAGGCAGAGGCATTTAATTATACCCAAAAGGGCAGGTTTATTATAAAAGGAAAGGGAAGGGAGGAAAGGATGCTTGCCCGGACAGACGTAAGGGGGCAGGAAGCATTGCCCCTGAAAGGGACAGGTTTGTTAAAAGAGAAGCCTGCATGGTCATGGGCAGGCAGCTTTGGGGGAGCCGCCTCTGCTCTTTGCAAAGGGAGAAGCTTGGTGGAGAGAAGCACCTGCATAGGCACAGGTGGGCGGGCCTGTTGCTCCAGCCAGTGCAGTGATTGCACTGACAGAGTCTTCTCTTTGAGAGGGGCTCATTCCTTTGTGGGATTCTTAACTGCTATTAAATTACTTCTAGGGTTGGTAGCTGAGGGTTTTTCCTATATTTGGTTTGACTAGGTCAATTTGGAAGGCAGCTATGTCACCACTATTTCACCAATACTGCACATTACTAGGTCAATTTGGAAAGACCAGTGATTCTTTTTACAGGGGCCCTCAATCTCCAAATCCCCCTCTGTTCGGCACCTCAGCCTGCAACTCTGGATACTTTACCTTTCTATATAGCTTGTTTAATGACTATGTTAATCATTCCTACCCCTATCTCCAGCTTTTGGCCTTGTATGAAACAGTTTCTGATCTTGTGATGTCTCCTTCCCATCTTGTCTCCTCTACACCTCCATCACTATGATTAGGTTTTAGCCTTTTAATGACCCAATGCCACTGGACTAGAAACTTCACAGCATTTTCCCACTTTTCTCCTCCCTATTTGTGTGGGAAAGAATGACTGGATAGAGTGGACTGGAATGGGAATTTCCCTCCCCTGATCAGTTAGGCTGTGATAATATCCCTGCAGGTTAGACTCTTAACTGAGGGCAGATTTTGCTAAGGACAGAATATGGTTTCTTTTCTCCTCCCCATGCCAGAAGCCCATGGGAATTTGTCTTAGATGTTTACTATGGGGACCTGGCCAAACTTCTAGAGGTACATCTCACATTATTGTAGGGCCTAACCTATGACTGAGACCCTGGAATTTAGAATTCTGAGCTGTTCACACTAAGCCACACTGTAATTCATCTATCACAGTGCAGGTTTTCCTACCCCAGCACTGGTTTCTACAGCGGTTTGTAATTGAGTCCCTCTGCTCCAATAAGTCGTGTCTTCCAATTTTATTCCCACACATATTCTTATTTCCAATCCATATTATTTCCATTCTATATTCACCTGACTATCCACAGGCAGAAATTTCCCTATACCCTCCCTTCTCTTACAAATCCAAGAAGAGTTGTTTAATTTTCAGTCTGGTCAGTTTTTTTTTCTTCCATCAGTGCTCATTTTTGTACATTATTTGATTTCTCCCCTCCCAGGTGTCATCCCCATAAATCTCCCACCACCATGTCACCTATGAACCATCACCATAGTCCCTCGTGCTTTTCCCTACTGTTGTGACCCCTCTCTCTCCCTCTCCAATTGTAGGCTCTATAGTTAGCCTGTAAGATTTGCCTTTTTTTCTTTTAAAGATTTATTTATTTATTCATACAGAATTTATTTATTTATTCATACAGTACAAACCAGAGATGCAGAGGGTGAGAGGATTCACCAGAGACAAAGTGGGGAACAGAACAGGCAGATCGATGAAGTACACTGCTGAGGGGAGCAGCGGGCGGGTCAGGAGAGGTCTGCCAGCCATGTGGGTCACCTCCGGGACAGGCGGGGATCGAACTCATGCTGAAGTGACTTTAGCTTCTTAGTGCTGTGCTTTAGCCCACTGTGCCACCAGGAAGGACCTGTAAATTTTGTCTTTTTCCTGACCCTTTGGCCAGTCAGATTTTTATTTTCTATTAGTATGAATTGATGACTTTCAAGCTCCTTGTATGTGGGATCAGAAGCCAGGAGGACATTCCTTCCACTCTTTATAAGTTAACTACAAGAATTCTCGCCTCTTGACTCAAGAGAGTTAGTGAGTCTTCAACTCCCTCAAGATACCACCTTCTTCATGCAAGTCAACCAAAGGGACACTGAGCTAGAGGCCTCACCCCTAGCCTTGCTCCAGGGAAAAGGCAGGAAGACACACAGTTGAGGGGTTACATGCAAAGCAAACCAGAGACACATTTCAAGTTTGTTCAAATGACTTTAATTGGAGGCTTGAACCCTCTAAACCATAGCTCAAGCCTGGCTCTGTGGGCCAATGTCCCACTGGAGTTAGGGGGGAAATGCACAGTTGAGTTTGAGAAATGGAGTTCCACTCTCCCTAGTCACTTATTCTAGGGCTTATATAAATGATGGCTGCCACATAGGTTATTATGAGAATTAATGTTCATACACCAAGCTATGAGTTCGTTTTTATTTCTGATTCAAAAATCTTCCTCCAATGAGGGAAATTCTTTTATAGCTCTGTAATTGCACGAAACATCTACAAATGGGGGACTTCCTTTTTTTTTTTAATTAAAATAGTGTGTTTTTTTAAAGTGGTTTATTCGGAGTGATCTAATGATCATCTGGAAGCTTAGATATTCTTAAGTGGAAGTTCTTAAAATTCAAGAACCAATACTGAATGTATCTGTTATTTCCTTTGTTTTAATTGTTATTGACGTGCCTTTATTTTATTATCCCATTACCCCATCCTTGCTATTCTTGATGCATTTGCTGAACAGACTGGGGAAGTCCACTTCCTCCTGCCCATTGGCCCCTTCATTTAGCACCGGAGTTCTCTGACTTTGTTCTGAGAGGATCTAACCCCAGAATAGAGCAAATGCCCAGATCACTTCCAAGGCCTGATTTCTTTGAGGCCCCCCACAGGGCTGAATTGCAGTTTGCTAAGTTGTGGATAGTAACAGCCATACTAGGACCTTTAAATTTCTAGGAGCCATTCTTCCTAAGAACAATTGAAAACATTTCACAGTAATAGCAGCAGGTGTGCATTGCCCTCTCAACACCCCCCTCCCAGAAAAGAAAGGGGCCAAACTCTTCTCTTTTCTTTAAAAGGAAACATGAGACCCGAGGGGTTAAGGACTTATTTTATGGCTCCACTTCCCATCAGGGCAGGGAACTAACTTGGGTTCCTACCTCCTCTGTCTGAACTATTTTTTAATCTGTTTTGCCAAAATGCTGGAGGACAAAGCCTTGACTGTTTCTCTGCACTTTTCTAATTAGTCTCTTTTCTCTTTCCCACGTGGACATTTCTGGGCTAGTCCCTCCCAGTATCCCCATTTCTGCACCAGCATAGAGCAGGTATGGCCAGCATAGTCCTGCCAAAGCTCTCTCTTGCCCTCATGCTATTTTCAAAGCTCTACTGGGTGGAAGACACCACATAGGCTGTGGCGATGTACTTTTTGCCATTTCCATAGGTATTCTTGTCCCAGGTGTAGGTCTGGATGGCCAAGGGATATCCACCCAGGCTTACCCGGCACCTGTGAGAAAAGATCCCGCATCATAGTGAGGTAGGACAGCAACTTAGGGCTGTGGCCACAGCCCCTGCTCCCCTACCCCGTATTTCTGAAAAACAGCTATGCACATTTCAGAACAAAGTAACTCAAGCCCAATTACTTTGATTTAAACCTTTTAGTTTACTCCCACACAGGCCCCACTACTTATCAGGCCAGTGGCCCCTAACTTTGATAAACAAAATTGGCCAAATCTCATTATCCCAATCTGTAAATTCCTGCCCCTTCTATTAAGCAAAAGTTGTCAAAACCCACCATGATCCCACCTGTAAGCCCTCGTCCCCTCCAGCTGAGCAAGTTTGTATGTCAGCAGCCTTAAGGCCCAAGGCCCGCTCTCCTCTGAGCCGGCCTGCTCTCTTGCATGTGTGCTTTCACCTACAACAAAGCTTCATTTCTGACTCGCCTATACTGACTCCTGCATGAATTCTTCCCTGCATAAAAGTCAAGAATCTTAGGGTCCTTCAGCACTCCTGAACCCCAAAAGTAGGGGCAGCACTTCATTCTATCCACAGGCTGGAGAGATGGAGTCATGCCCCCCCCCATGCTGGAGTCCACTCTGTTTTCCGTGCTTCACTCACGGCCTAGCTTCCCGTCTGCAGGAGACCTTTCAAAATTCATGCCATGTTTTCTCTCTTCTTAGCATCATTCATCCTCTCTCCCAGAGCAGTATTCTAAAAAATCCATAATCTAGAGCTGAACATCCCTTACCCCCAAAATAAAATGTCTGCATCGGGTTTCAGAAGTAATAGGGCTCAGAGCCCTTAAATTTTAGAGAACTTGAGACCTACTGGTTTCAAACTGTCCTCTCTGGAACTCTGGAACTCTCCCCTAAGCTGCCTGGAGGCCACATAGCCTGGAGCCTCAGGGCCGCTCTATTTACTACTGTATCATAGGCTAAGGTCCTGCATAAGATTTCCCTTGCTGGAAAAGTTCTACTGCTAAGATGAAATGTCACAGCTATCAAGCTAATTTTACAACTTCATTTTCCAAGTGAGAAAATTCAGGCCCAGAATAGTGATCTGTCCACAAGCTCCCAGCTGTTGAGAGGCAGGTTCAAAGTCCCTGAGTGTCCTGGCCAAGGACAGCCCGCAGCTCCCAGCCTGTCCCTCAGGGCTGGCTGGCCCAGTACTTACTCTTTGCCTGGCCTGGCGATAAAGCACAGAGAGTAGAGTGCAAACTCAAACTCAGGGCTGCTGCCGATGAAAGCTGACCCCACTTCCTTATAGTAGCCGTCCCAGTTGAACTGCATAGCTAGCACGTCAGGGTAAGAATCCCACTGGGAGAGAAGAACCACAGAAGGTCCAGTGAGTCCCCAGAACTGAGTCAGACAGAGGATTTGCGGAGGGTCCATTAGGGGTCCAGGTGAGCTTTCACTAAGAGGATGAATTCTTTAAGTCAACCATCTACCCTGCTAACATGACTGAGTCCTGCTCAGATCCTCTGGAGCTCCAAAAACGCCTCCCACAGAGGCGAGTTGGCACCCAAACAGCCAATGCCAGGGTGCAAGGATGTAGCTATTTCTTGTGGCCCTCACACATGGAGAAGGACAGTTTATTGTCCCCAGAGTATTTCCTAGCACAAGGCAACAAGGGTTTCCTTTTCATAAATATAAGGAGTTTAACTGAGACTAGTCAGGCTGAAGCTTCTAGCCAAGACCACATTCTAAAGAAATTTGGGCTTGTATTTGGTCTCTGAAAACCCTCTTTAGCCCCCGCCTCCCAGTCCCTGCAGTTCAGGGTCTTTACAGGAATGGAATCCCAGCATCCTGCCTACCCCTGCTCAGCAGGAGACAGAGTCCCAGCCACAACTCCCACCAGTGGGAGTCAAGGAGGAAACTGAGCACCTAGAGGGCAGAAGTCTGTCACCAAGCGGGCTTTCAGTCCTGGGGGCATTCATACTCACAGGCCCATCGTAGATGTGGCTGTAATAATCCACCAGGCCTTCCTTCTCCTGCATATAGAAACGGATCCAGTTGTGGAAGCCAGTGACCTTGCCTTTTTTGACTTCACCTATAAAAAAGAGTTCAAGATGGGGGTGTGGGGCTTCCCTTCCTAACCACTTTCTGCCTCCTACGCCAGGTTATCCCTCTTCTCCTGTCTCTGATTCTGAGAATGCATGTCCCCCTTGCCCCAGAGCCCCTCATATCCTTAACCCTTACCCCTAACTCTCACTCTCACTTCAGCTCAAGCCCTAGGAAGAATTCCTCCTCCCAGTTGGACCTGGTGACCACTTTGGGGTACTGCTGTCACCATTTCTTCTGGAACAAGCCAGACCAGTAGAAACTTTTGGGGGATAGGACAGAGGGGAGAAAGACCAGAGGTCTCTGGGAAGCAGGCATCCAAGCAGAGGACAGAGAACAACCACATTCCCAAACCATCTCGCTTCCCATGTGTGCCCCTTGAGCCCCAGGTTATGGTCTTCTTTCCCCATTAGATTCCAGAAGAGTCTATTCCTCAAAAATGGCTTCCCTGATCCTCCCTCTTGGCCCACAGTGGCCCTCCCTGCCAGCAGGCCTGGCTGCTGGCCCATTCATGGTCAAGGCTGCTGGGCTCTTCAGGGCAGGCCCTCCTCTTCATCCCTAGCTACTTCTTCCAAGTAGAGGAATCCCACCTGAGAAGACATGTTCAAAGCCACTTGAATCCCCCTCTTCGCTTCCTCTTGAATAGAGCCCGAACCACATGTTCTTCAAGTCGTCAACGAATTCTTTTTCTGAGCTGTAGCGGTCTAGGAGAGAGAACACAGAAAACTTAGGAGAGGGAGAAGAGTAAGATTCTGGGAAACAAGGGCCATCCACCCTGCCAAGAGATATGTGGGCACGACCACAGATATATTCTACTGCGTATTAAACAGGGACACATGAGACATGGTCCTGGGGCATGGTCCTGTGCCGGCCCCAGATCTAAAGGCTGAGGATTCAGCAGGGAGTAACAAGGGCAAGATCTTTCTAGTTTATGTTCCAGCAGAAGAGACAATAAACAATGAGTGACCAGTGTGGCTTTAGGTAAGTACTATAAAGAAAATAAGGCAGAGAGAGTATTTCCTGATGACTTGAAGTGTGGATGGAAAAGTGCAGGGCTGGGGGCAAGTACGTTCTGGAAAAAAAAAATCAGGAAAGGGCTCTGTGAGAAGGTAACACTGATCAGAGACGGCAGAGGGGTCAGCCATCAAAGACCAGGGAAGGAGACGCTTCCTCTTAGAGGAAACAGCAAGTACCAAGACTCCAGGATGACTTGACCTTGGTGTTCAAGGAATACCCAGGATAGTGGTAGGAGAGGAGGTTGGAGATGGAGGCAGGGATCAGTTCATTCAAATTGTGGATCTCAATCAAGCAGTAATAATAACAAAAATATTTTGGAATCACTAAGCACTTCCTATATCCTGGCACTATGTTTATTGTTTTCCTGGGATGTCTGTTCTTGAAATCATATTGACTCTTCACAGATATTAGTATCAATTACCCCTAATTTAAAGATGAGGAAACTCAGGCAAGGTTTCCACCATTCATGCAAGATTATGTAGTTTACAAGTGTTAAAGCCAGTACTTGAGCCCACAGTGTGCTCCAGAGACTTCTCTACAGCTTCTATGCAATGGAGGAGCCAGTGACAAATTTCACACCTAATTATACAATAGAAGCTCTGTTTTGAAAAGATCGTTCTGGGTGTTATTTTCAAAGGTCAATGGGTGTATGCATAGGAGTTGAGAGACTAACTTTTTTTGTTTTTTTTTTCTTCAAGATTTATTTATTTATGCATAGAACTGAGGTATACACCAGAGGTGCAGGGGCAGTGAAAGGATTAACCAGAGACAGAACAGGTAGATTGAGGAAGCACACTGCTGAGGGAAGCATGGGGCAGGTCAGGAGAGATCTGCCATGTCATGTGGATCATCTCTGGGGTGGGGGTCGAACTCATGCTGAAGTGGTTTTAGGTTCTTAGTGCTGTACTTTAATACACTGTGCCACCAGGGAGGGCTGAGAACTAGTTTTGAGGCTAACATGCTGTCCACCTCAGAGTGGCGGTAGTTTAGACTGTGGTTGCTACATCAGAGCAGTGTTAGGTATAGAAGGAGTGATGAGTGGTGGAGAAGATGGGGGTTGAGAGTAATGGGGCAAAGAGAAAAGCACATATACATCCTGGGCTTTTGGCCTGAGCAGATGGGCATCACTTGCAAGCTAGGGAAGACAGGAAAAAGCAGGTCTGGAGGAAGAGCTAGGAACCAGTTCTCTTTATATAAATTTCAGTGCAAGTGCAGATGATGTAGCCAAGAGAGGCAGAGAGCACCCAAGGGAAAGGTCAGCGCTGGTGGGGGTCTGATTAAAGCATCATTATATATTGATTATTTGCTGCCCAGGACTGTGCTAGGAGACAAAGGAAACATCCTGTGTCCTTTCAAAGACTTAAAATATAGTAGGAAAACGAAAACTAACAGTACATGAAATAAAAAAACGGTTTCATGAAAATCTTCTATTTACGGTTGCTGGGCTTTCCTAGGTGCTTTCCATACATAATCCTCCAGACCCTGTTCCACAGAAAAGTCTCACCAGATGAGATAACTTGCCCAGGGTCTCACCACTAACCTGTGGCAGACGTGGAAGTCAAACTGAGTCGTTCTCCGTCAAGCCTATTTTCTGTGATACTATAAGCCCTTGACCTCTGAAGAGACTAACCAGCTGACGCAGGTGCAGCTTCATAAATGAGAACAAGAACATTAAGGACGAGTGGGTTTGGACAAAGAGAGAGGTGAAGACAAGAAGAGCAAAAACAGCCTGGCCTGAGTTCCAGCCGCAGCTTTGCTTTCAACTTCTTTGTGGCCCCATGCAAGTCACCTGTCCTGCATGGGCCTCTGTTTCTCTCCTTGAAAAGTGGAAGGCTCAGGCTAGAAGGCCAAGATACTCTCGTGTTTACAACAAAGTGAACACCAGGGGGCAGTGCAGGATTGCCATGGCAACCAGTGAGGTGCCCAGGAAGGAGTGGCACAGCCCTGGCAGCCTGGAGTTCAGAAAAGGAATCTGGAGGATACAAACAAACACAGCCCCATGCTGAGAAGTCCTGTGGCCCAAACCTTTTTTGGTCCGATTCGAATGTATCTGGAGCAGTTCCAACCAGAAACCTTCCTGGTACAACTTCCCCCTCAGAACCTCTGTGGATTTTCTGTTGCTGTTTCCCAGCAAACAAGTGAGGTAACTGACTCCCATCTTAGACTTAACAGGAAGAGGTAGCACAATCAGGGGCTGATTCTAAATGCCTGAAAAGTCAGCCAGAGGCAGACTCTGGCTAAGAAGTAACCCGGGGTGGAATGGGGTAGCTCCTGGCCTGCAGAGAACCCTGAGACAGAAGAGCCCAACGAGGGATAAACAAGGCTACTAAGAATAAGTTTAAAAGATGGGCTGAAGCTGGGAAAAGATACACAAGGATGTAAAAATAAACTATTATATTAAAAAAAAAAAAGATGGTCTGATTCTCAAGTCAGATAGGATTTGTCAAGTCCTGATTGGGTCCATGATTTCTTTTAGGCTCCTGTCTGGCCCCTTCCCTGCCCCCTTCAGATGGACACTGGCCTCCGCCTGGTCCTGCCTCCTCCTCACCTGCTCTCTGAACCTTCTGTCTTAGATATCCCAGAGGAACTGGCTCTCAAGCAGACAGACCTGAGTCCTCAGCACTGCCTGAGGGGCCACTCACTCTGGTGATGGAGGAAGCTGTAGAGTTCCTTCATGACGGCTGTCTTCATGACCTCTGTGAGGAAGGTGTCCTGCTCGGCCAGCTGCTGACTATTGAAATGCTCCCCATGGCCAGTTGCTCGTTGGTAGTTGTTAAGGAGATTGATGAAAGCGGCATAGGTTGGCTTGGAGAACAGTTTCTCATTGACATAGGTGAAGAGCCTGGGAGGTTGGAGGGAAACCCACTGAGAGGCCTGAAATGGACCGTACAAATAGCTAGGGGCAAGCATATGAGGATGGGGTTCAGAAGTAGTGGAGGCACTTCAGAGTCTCCTGAAGGCAATACACGAGTTCTCTCTTTTTTTCCACACCAGCTCATAGAAAGTTTGTTCTATCCTCAGCCTGGCCAGTCACAGAAACCCTCCCAACTGGATGCCACAGTCCCTCAGGATGGCTTTATTTCTCTCTAGGAACAGATACTTTTCTCTTCCTTTGATTCTGGCTGCATTCAGGAAAAACAAGCTGAGGCAGGCATCAGAAAGCAAAACTTTGGAGAGAAATGTTGCAGGAAGAGGAAAGAAGGGCACTCACGGCTCTGGGCAACGGTCCACCTGGTCCCCTGCCTCGGAGGGGGAGATTCGGTTCTGGCTGTTGAGAATGATGTCTTCCTTCCGGGCCTTGTTGACATCTGCCTGGTAGATCCTCTCAGAGATGCTCTGCAGCTCCTCCTTGGTTATGGCATCACTGCTGTGGGAGAAGCCCTCTGGGAAGGGTTGGGGAGGGGTAGTCTCAGAGCAAAGGAAGGCTGGGCATGGTTGTCTGCCCATGCAGCCCCTCACAAGCCAGCATGGAGGGAGAGTGCTGAAGCAGGCACTTTAGTGGTTGGAGGTCAGGGTCCTGGGCCTAGCGGATCTTTAGAACACACATGGCCTTGCACAGACTTCCCACCAGTCTCTACACTGCCCTCATCCTGTGGAATGGTTCTCAAGCATTGGCATGCATCAGAGTCACTTGGAAGGAATGTTAAAGTGGATTGGGCCTGTCTCTAGGGTTTCTGACTCAGGTCTGGGGTGAAGCCTAGCATGCCTTTCTGTCTTTATCTCTCTCTCTCTCTCTCTCTCTGCCTTCTTTTTATATCAAAAGGGTAAGTTTATTATGAAAGGGAGAGGAGAATAAAAGACACTTCATAGACACAAGTGGACAGAAAGAGCTGCCCCGAACTTAGGGTGTATGTCTAATAAATTCTCAGATGCTGCTGGGTCAGGGGCAGCATGGTGAAGGATGACTCTAGAAAGTTCCTGTGCCTCTAGAGCTGTGCTAAAGGGAGCAGGAGACTGACCGTGAGCACACAGACTCTCGAAATCTACGCAGCAGTTCCCAAACTCTGGACAGCGGGCATTGCAGTGGCACGGGTGGTGTTTGTCGAAGGCTTCATAGCAGCGGCCCTGGCAGGAGTCGGGTGCTGAGTACAAGTCTGAAAGAACAGGGGTGAGGTGTGTGCCCAAGGACTTCTAGAGGTCAGTGGATGGTGACCAGTGCCTCTCACCCTTCCTACCAAAGATCTCTAGGGAAGGAAAACAAACAGGCTTTATTGGTATACTCCCTTCACAGCCAGGAAGTCCTTTCTGAAGCTGAACTTTACTTTTCTGGCCTGTTGTTTTTATAATCTTCCAACTCTAAAAATAAAGTCCCTTCCACTTCCTTCTCCAGCCTCTCCACAGGCCTTACTTAGCCTCCTTTCTGCTCATTCCCCGACTGACTGGACATGCCACCCCCACCTCACCCCAGCTTGTTCCTACCCAGAACCCCTCTCAGCACCTCCAGGTGCTAGTCTGGGGCTGGGGCTGTTGTCATGGTTAACTCTTGCACCCTCCCATTCCCCTCTTTTATCCGGAGGAACCCCCTTTGGGGAGGCAGACTCACGGCTGACCAGGGCCTCTTCAGAATCTTCTTCCAATTCTAGAAATGGCGCTGGGTCTTCAGGGCCCTCATTAGCTGTAGGTCAGAGAAGTTAAAGTCACAACCCTCCCCAAGGGTTGCCACCCCTTTTCTCTGGCCCCAGGTTCCCCAACCTCAGTACAAACAGATGCTTGGCAGGAAATACAAAAACAGGGCCTGGGGTATGAAAAATAGCTACCAAGTGGAAGAGGAGGAAACCTGAAAGTGGAAGACAGAAGAGGAGAGAGTGCTGAAAACTACTGAAAAGTGGAAATTCTCCTGAGCCAGGTGAAACCCCCCTTACCACTTCGCCACTCTACTCCTCAGCATGCTCATCTGTGAGAAGGGGCAGGGGAGGCAGTAGGTGGTCCCTTTTGGACTGAACACTGGTTTTGGTTATGACTTTTGCTAGTGGCAGCTGACAGATGGACAGGCTTAACACTGTCCCAGTGACTAGTTCCCTCAGCTAAACTCCCTGTCTCTCCTCTCAAGGCCTCCAGGAATAAGAACTATTTCCTGAGATACCAACTTCCCTTCTTTCTTCCCAACAATGGGCTTGGGAGAAGGGTGTGTTCAGAAAAGCACATTCCTATCACTGCCCAGTTCCCTTAGCAGAGGCCAGTGAGGAGCAGAGTGGGGAGGGGTGGGCGAGGGGAGTGCTCCCGCAGACTCTGCGTTCCTCCCCTCACACAGCAGAATCACTTCCCCCAAGGAAACGCTAACACTGAGTGATTCCAAATGCAGGAGCGTGCTCTCTGGGCAGGCCTGTGTTGTTACCATCAATCCCAGGAAGCAGGTCTTGCTTCCAGTCTGCAAACACCTGCCAATGACTTTCTTTGTGCTGCGCTGTGTTCTAAGTGTTGGCAACCCACAGGGCTCTTAATTCAGTCACAGTTTATACTAAACAGAGCTAATCTGGAGTTACACCCATCATTTGTAATATTTTTTCTCTGAGAAAAGGGTTTGGCGCAGCAATGGCTCTATCTTGAATACAAGGCAGACCACCCTGTCTACCTTGCAGTGCCCGCCTGGAGGCACAAGGTGTGTGGCCTACCTGTAGCTGCCAGGCAAGGGGGACAGCAGAGAAAGGGCAGGCTCTGACTCTGCCCTGCGTTCTGGGGTTGTGCCCCTTCTCTGGGCCTGATCAGCAGAAATTCTGCTAATACACATGTTGATATTGTGTAAACTGAATACAGTGCCTTCAAGGCAGAAGTAGCTTGGTGGGCATTTGGTTGGGTCACCAAGGCACCACCTTTTGCAAATTAGGAAGAGGTACTCCCACCTCCTGACAAACACCATTCTTCACCAAGGCACATGGTTTTTCAAAAAGGGTTCAGATCCAATTTGGGCTCGACTGGCCTTCTTCTGCAGGTGTCTCTGCAGGTCCTTGCTGCATCATCTACCAAGGCCTCCATGCCTGTGTTTTCCAAATGGAGGCGACGGTGAATATAGCAAGGCTTCATTCATGTCAATAGCAAGGCTTCATTCATGTCAAAAGAGGGACATTGGCTATCAGGAAGTCTAAAACACTGGGGTCATGCAAATAAAGGATTATTGAAAATGATTTTTAAAAATGATCGATTCAGACCCTCCCTGGTGGTACAAGGGGTTAGTTAAGTGGCAGCACTATGAAGCTATGGACTGCCACTGCAGCACGAGCTTCACCCCCAGCCAGTTTCATCCCCTCATGGTGCAGCAGACCTCTCCTGACCTGCCGCTGCTCCCCTCAGCAGTGTATTTCAGTAGATCTGCTTGTTCTGCTCCCCACTCTGTCTCTAGTGAATCCTCTCACCCGCCACACCTTTGACCTAAACCCCACCTCTTGTATGCATACATAAAATAATCTTTAAAAATTAAAAAATAAAAATGATCCATTTAAAATTCTGCCATTGGAGTAGTGGAGGAACACCAGGCTGTGGGGGGCAGGCTCTGTTTTAATCACTGAATGAGGAATGACAGGAAGATGTCGTGGCCACTCGCTATAGGAAGAGTGATGTGACTGTGATAGCCACTGCTCTTGTCTTCCAGGTGGCATGCAAGTTGAGGCAAAATTTAGGGGCAAAAAATTTTATTTTATTTTTATTTTTTAAAGATTTATTTATGCATACAAGAGCTGAGGTACAGGCCAAAGTTGTGGGAGGTGAGAGGATTCACCAGAGACAGAGCGAGAAGCAGACTGAAATACTGAGCTGCAGGTGAGCTGCAGGTGAGACAGCTCTGCTGTGCCATATGGGTCATCTCTCTCATTGGGAGATGGAGCCAGTGCTGCAGTGGTTGGGACAGTTTCGTAGTGGCTGGGATAGCTTCACAGTGCTGAGACTCAAACCCTTATGCCACCATGGAGAACCTGTTGATATTTTTAAACTTTTGTGGCTTGAAATGTTGACTAACAACTGGTAATATAATTCATGCAAAGATTGCATTTTTATCATATTGGGGGGGGGATCACTTCAGTTTTCAAGATACTGTTTATCCTGATAATTCAGATAGATATTCCAGGTAAAAATCAACTATTGTATTTAAGTCAGGGTTTTAAATTGGGGACACCCCAGAAAGCATGGAATGTGTAGCACTCAAATAAATTTCAGACCTCCACACTGGCCTACAGTTTCTTGTTTGGGCATGTGAGCCCTGTCAGCTGCCCGAATCCTCAACTGGACTGAGGGACCCGTGCCGACAGCCCTTCAGGCAGGCTGAGCAGAGACCCAGTTGTCCTGCATCCTCCAGACCCTCAGCCCCCAGGTGCTTCACCTGCACACAGGTACTCATAGTCTTCACAACAGTCTCCGTGCCGGGTACAGCGGTGGTCACACTGGCAGGCAGCATCCTGGTTAAACTTCTCGCTACAGCGAGATGCACAGGAGTCTGTTTTTCCTACAGGCAGTGAAGGTCGCAACTCAGCTCAATGGGGATCCCCTTCCCCTCATCAAGGTTCCCCCATGGACGGGTTCACAGGTGAATGCTCCCAGGCCCCACCAACTGGGAAGGTCATGGCAGCAATGAAGGCACTCCCAGCCTCCCATGCACGACTCCCACCACCCAGCAGCACTGAAGGTCTCGTAATGAACGCAGGGATCACATATTCAGATGCCTAGTGGAGCTCACCTATAATATAACTGAGTAAAGACACAGTAGGTGTGTGCAGAGGTGGGTACCGGGAGCACACCTGAAACAATCCCACCACACAGAGGCGGCGGTAGGGTGCTGCCAAGTTGCAGGGCAGGCTTGCTGTGGCCAGAGATTTTATTTTCAAGAGAGACCTTAATTTTTATAGGAAATGTTTTCAATTAAAAAAAAAAATACAAGCCGACCAAAGAGGTCTGTAGGCCAGATGTGGTCGACAGGCCTGTATTTACCTGCCATGTGGAGAAAGAGCCGTCTCCAGCGACCCTCCCCAGCTCCAGGCTGCCCCATCCTCTCATCCTGCCCCTTTTACAGCCCCTGCTGTCCTGTTCTTCCCCTCCCACCCCACCCCCAGCTGGTCTCCTCTGTGCCAGGTTCCCTTGTGACATTCTTGTGTTTCTTTAGGCTTTGGAATGCACTAGAATTAGTTTTTGCTCAGGGTGGGGAATGAGGCTGGTGTGGGTGAGAATAGGGCTTTGGAATAAGAATTCTGTTATGGAACCACAGACCACATCCCTAATTCAGCCAAATGACTTGCAGAACAAGCTTTTGGTCACAAAGGGCATGAGACAAGGATTTTGAAGGAAACACTACAAACCTACCACTCGCCCTCCCGAAACAGCGCCACCAGGCCCAGCACAGCACAGCACCCAGTCTGTGGATGGCCCACCAGAGGGACTGTCAGCTCACACTCTGGGCTCTCAAGGAGATAACAGAGGCTTTGTTTCCATTTGCGGTTCCTGAGGTTTGGATTTAGCGGGTGCTGGGTTTAGAGGTCAGGCTGTGGGTTACAGAGAATGTCAAGATCAGAGTCAGAATTGCTGTCAGTGGCAGGATTTGAATGAATAAGGAAACCAAGACCCAGTTAAGGCCAGGGTTAGGGTTAGCAAGGTTTAGACTACAAGCTACAGTTAGGGTTTGGACTTGAGCTAAAGTGACAATTTTGTGTTGACATTTGGGTCAGAAATGGTTTAAGACCACACTCGGAACTGCGAAATATGTGAGGATTGGAAGAGATGAAATAATGTCAGTTTTACCTTAGATTAGATTTGGAGTTTGGTTCTGATTATGATTCCACATGCCATTTAGGCCTGAACTGCAGTGGAGTTACTAGGGATATTTTAGGGATTTTTTAAGATTTATTTATGCATACAGAACTGGGGTACAAGCCAGAGGTGCAGGGGCGGTGAGAGGATTCACCAGAGACAAAACAGAGCCAGACACAGAACAGAACAGGCCGACTGACAAAGTACACTGCTGAGGGGAGCAGCAGGCGGGCCAGGAGAGGTCTGCCATGCCATGTGGATCACCTCTGGGTGGGGATTGAATTCATGCTGAAAGTGGCTTTAGCTTCGAGTGCTGCGATTTAACCTGCTGTGCCACCAGGGAGGGCCCAGTACTAGGGATATTTTCTGGATTTATACTCTGCTAATGAAGGTGGACAGAAAGGTCAAGAACCTGGACTGGTGCTGAATTCCTTGGGGTTGGAATTCTGGTTCTGCTGCTTTCCAGCAATGTGATCTTGGGCAGATTGTTTGACCTTCTGTACCTCAGTTTCCTTATCTGTAAAGATGTAATAGTAATGGAGCCCTATCTTGTAAGATATTCTTTTAAAAAAAAAGATTTATTTTTTATGCATACAGCACTGGAGTACAGGCCAGAAGTGCAGGATATTCTTAAGAATTAAGTACATTAATGTTTTAAAGCACTTAGTACAGTGCATGACACAAATAAGTGTCTGTTAAGTAAACAAATGGTGCTTCAATCGACCTCAACACTTGCCACCCAACTAGAGGAGACGAGTGTCCAGACTGGCTGGTGCAGTCTTTCCAGCCAACATAACTAATCTAGCTGGCTCCCTCCTGGGTTTCAGCCAGGTCATCCTTTGGGCTGGAGTGTCTGCCTGTTTATGCTACTGACAGTTCCTGAGCTGACATCATCTTTAACCTCAAAGAAGTGTGTGGTCAAGTTTAACCTAGGTCTGGAGACAACTCCATAGTGTGTACAGGGCCTCCAGTGAGGCCAGAAGGCAGGACTCTGATACACTAGCTTGTCCTCAGGAGAGAAGTGGTCTAAAGCTCTTTGAGCCCAATGAAACTCCTCTTGAATCTTAAACGAGGCACCCTGGAGACCCAACAGCAAAGACCTTAAGGAGAAATTTCGGCCCAGGAGGAAGACTCCATCAGTTGCCTGCTAAGTCTGCCTGGCAGTACACCCAGAATCCAGAAGGAGAGCGCAGACAAATCAGGGCAACATTTTTAATGGGCCAGATCAACAGAGTCAAGGAAAGAATTCAGTCCATTCCAGCAGCTGGCACCAGTTGAGAGGGGCTGTGACTGAATAGTCAGCTCCGTGGCACTCAGGAGAACACCCCCACTGGCCCAAGCCAAAGGGGCTTTTCATCTCAGCTCAGATCTCTGTCCCCAATAAGAGCCCATTCCAAGGGTTCGTCACATTTCCCTGCAACCTTGGTCTACTTCAAGACGACCCTGGGTGTGCTATTCTGGGGACACTCAGACTAGCCACCACAGTACTGCCGCCCCACACCTCCTGCTCACACAGAGGCTCTTGCTCACCAGGGAGCTGCGCGAGTCTTCACTGCTCCAGCAGCCATCTGGACAGCGCCTTGTACCTCTGTCTCCACTCTCTGCCTCTCTCTTCATTTTGGCTTTTCTTCTCCTGGACACAGATCCTCCTTCCAATCCTCAAGAAGCCCCTCACCCCTCATGAAGTGCTAAATTATTCTATACCATCCAAGACTTCAATATGCCATAATGCCCAGCCCCCTCTCCACAGAAAGAGCTTGATCCCAAGTCTGGGTGTCCTTGATGCCAGCACTCATCTCTTCTGATGGTTTGGGCATCCAACATCAGCACCTCTCCACGAACCCCAGATGCTATGTCCATGGAGACCTAGAGGATTCACTTCCTGCCTCAGTTTACTTGAAACAACGAGTGATCTGGAGCTGGCAACGGCTGTCCCTGTGATTCATATTCTTGCATCTAAGTTCTGAGATGTTGGAAGTAGACAATATGAGAACTGCCTCCTCCCCACCTTACGAAAGAAGGAAGCATCCCCCACTGGACCCTCACTTCCCCTCAGTCCCACAGCCAGAGCAGACCACAGCTCTTCCCATCCCGCCAGATAGAGCTCATCATCCTTTGCAGTGATGCAGAGGAATACAATCCCACCCAACCCGGAGACAGCTATCCCTCCAACTGTTTTTTCCATGTAGGAATTAGGAATCCAATTAGGTTTTCCACATAGAATCCCATGAGAGGGACCTCCTTATCCACATCCAGATGGGAAATAATGCCAAGAGTAAGTTCCAACACATTCATAATTATGATCAAAGTCCCAGCTCACTGAGATCTCGCTCCAGGCAGGACACTGTATATATACTATGGATAGATCATTTAATCCTTGCACTAGCCCTACGTAGGTTTGGTGGCATGACAATCAAGCTCTGATTCTCTCTCCTCTGAACAAAAAAATGATCCGCTTCACATCCTTCAGCTCAGCCCCTTGGCACTGTTCCCATGCACCCATTAATCTCCAGTTCACACGTCAACATCGGGGTTTTGCAGCTGCTGAACAGAAAAGTGCACTATCTCTGTGCTAACCCCAACCCCTACGCTGCTGTAGCTGTGCGCAAGACCCTTCCCAAAGTGTTAGTTCCTCTAACAATGTGCAGAGACCCATTCCTCTGGCCACTTGTCGGTTCCAGAGAACCAGTGGCTCACCTCCTGGCCAGGGGTTCTTCCAGTTTCCCCCTGAGCCTGTTCATCTCCTAAGTCTTTACACAGAGAAATGTCCTACCCCAGACAACCCTACCCACCACCAGGCAGTAGGAGAAATGACCAAGAGCGCCCAAGCAATGCAAACCCAGCAACTTTATGTGCTATAAAACCCCAGCTTTATAGCATAAGGTGACTCTAAGAAATAAAACTTTAGTCTGATAAAAAATCAGGTTGGACTAAAGGATGTTGGGGCTGGTCCTCCATGGTGTCAAGCAGGGGCACCCATGACATGTGTTCACAAGCCCAGCAATTCCTTCCCCACTGTCCACACCAGAAGCAACTCCTTTCCCTCACACAAGGACAAGTCCAAGGTGCTCCAAGACTGTAGGACAGAGCTGGCACCCCCCAGCCCCACTATCATCACCCTCCACCAGGTTCCCTAACTCTCCACTTCTCTCCCCCATGCCCCACCAGTTAGTAACTTACCAGCGCAGGCCAGGCCACAAAGCAAGGCCACCAGCAGGGGCACACCGGCCCTCATGGTGCCCAGCGGGAGGTCGAAGGAGAACTGGCTGTTGGACTTTCACTAGAGTCCAGGTGGATGTCACAGCTCTCAAATGAGTCGTATTTCCCGGGATGATCCTTTTAAAGACATCAGAACTTGAGGATCTGGTACCTCCAGATCCTTCCAGGAAGAAAAAGGGGAGGGAAGAACCAGATGGATAAGAGGCAGAGAGGAGGTGGGATCCTTACAGCTGTGTAAAGCCAGAGGGAAGGTGACTAAGCAGGCAGGTAATGCTAGCTGGTCAGAACAGGTCGTGCTAGCTGTTTGCAGCTGGGAAATAGGTCATGCAAGCAGGCACAGCGTGATGAGTCTAGTCTGGAGGGGGTCTCTGTCCAAATTAGGGGTCCCAATAGACTTACCTTTGGGTGATACACACAAACAGAAAAGCCACAGGCCTGACCTTCCACGGGACTATAGACTGGCCTCAACTTTGAATCCCTGGTACTTTGCAGGAGGAATGTGGGGAGATGGTCATTACAAGCTTGACAAAAAGTAAGTGATTAAGCAAGAGTTGGAGTCATTGGAAGGAGAGAGCTAGGAGGCAAGCATGAGGAAAGAGAGGTGCTCCTCCTCTCACCATGAAGCCACACGCTGTCACCTGGAAACACTATGCAAATGAGCCTCTGGTTCTCACTGAGCCAGCACCTCAGGTTACATGCTCCAGGTTCTCCAGGTTCCAGGCTTGTGAGGCCAGGAAAGGACAAGAAGCCTCAGAGAAGAAACCCCCTCCACCTTCTTACCCTGGGAGCCCGGGGTCCTGCTCCCTTTACCCCCTACTTGTACCTCTCTTTCCCCAAGGACACGGGAGCTATGAGTCTTCTTTTTTTTTTTAAGATTTATTCATGCATACAGAACTGGGGTACAGGCCAGAGGTGCAGGGGTGGTGAGAGGATTCACCAGAGACAGAGTGTGGGGAGAAGAACAGGCAGATCAACGAAGTACACTTCTGAGGGGAGCAGCGGGCGGGTCAGGAGAGGTCTGCCACGCCATGTGGATCACCTCCGGGGTGGAGATTGAACTCATGCTGAGGTGGCTTTAGCTTCTTAGTGCTGTGCTTTAACCCACTGCACCACCAGAGAGGGCCATCGTGATGAGGCTTCTTAGGGCTCTTTTCTTTCCAAGTCTGAAAACAGGTGCAGCAACTTGCAGTCGCTAAGTTTTCCCTTAATACTAGAGGCATAATTCGCTAAGTAAAATGCTCTTCCCAGGGGATCTCTGAGAAGCCTCATGTAAAAAGGAGAATGATGGGCAGTGGAGAGAGCCACACAGCAATGCCTACCTGAGGCTGGACGGGAGGATTCAGTCCTTCAGCAGTGGAACTGTTTTCCCCTCTCGTGTTCCGATTCCTCCTCTTTGAAGTGATGGAGTTGGCTCTGACCATCTCTTTCAAATCCTCAGACTTCAATTTTGAGCCCAGGCCCCAAATTAGAGCAATTGCTGGTGGATTGAGGAGAATCCCCAGCCCCTCTCATGTGGGGATGATGCTGGATGTGGGGGTCTCTGAAATGGTGTACACAGCGAGTCCTCTAGCAAGGGACTCCCACTTCAGGCACAGCAGAGGCGGAAACCTGGCTGTTTCCTCCAGGAAAGAAGGCAGTTAAAGAAAGAGTTCTGTCTATCTTCACCTCGTTTGCACAGCCCAAAAGTAGGCTGCTGAGTTGCTATGAGAACCCCCACCCCGACTGGCGGCATGTGAGCATATGTCTGACTTGGTGAGGTTAGGGTCTAAGGAGAGAGGCTGAGAGTGTCACTGGCTGAGACTGAAAAGTGGTAACCAGAGAGGGATGTCCAAGAGTTGGGGTTGGATGGTCTCTCTCTCTTCCAGTGGGCTTTGGCTGAGACCAAAGCTATCAGCCTGGGAGGGAGCCTGACCAGGGATGCCCAGATGCCTGCTGAACTGATTGTAGATGGGGTTTCATGGGTAGGAATTCTTCCCTCCATCAGGGGATTGTTATTCAGAGCAGGAGCCAGACTGGGAACTGGGAGACGGACCCCAGGAGCTGCGCATCATCTGAGGACTTGAACAACCACCACCAACACTGACTGACTTGACTATGGACCACACTCAAAGTTCACTATTTGGTATCCCCTTCATTCTCACTATGGCCCTTGACAGGTACTATTGTTATTCTCACTTCACAATGAGGAAAGTGAGTCACAGAAAGTTTGGAAATTTGCCCAAGACCACATGAGCATTACACCATGCTGCAGGACCTCCACCATCCCCTGTGACCAGAGCCTGCTCTGGGGAGCACTGACAGGTGGGCCTGCAGATCTACCACATCTTCAAAGGGCAGCCACAGCCACTGATTACATGTGAATTACTGTGAAGGTAGTCTGGAATCAGAGTCTCTAGGACCAAAGGGACCTCGTGCTCACCTAGGCCTGTTCATACACGTGGCAAGGCCCTGAGCAACCATGAAGAGATTGTCCCACCTTCTGGTGTTGAGGGATCCCAACCTCTCAGGGTGCTCACCTCCCCTTCCCAGATCTGATTCCCACCCTGCAGAATTCTATGTGCGATGTGGATAGACACAGTAGGAAACAAGCCATCGAGCCATAAGGGAGCCTCCCATACATTCATGCAAAGGGACCATGGAGATAAAATCAGATACACATGGATGTATCTGGTTCACAGGGACAGACACATTAACTATGCTTCCAACAGCTTTCTCTTTCTTGGCTGGCCTAGTCTGGACAGAGAACTCTGCTGCTCTCCCTTCAAGTTTTCTCTTGGGTACATTCACGCACCACTCTCCAAAGCTCTGCCCTGGAGCCACCCTGGGACCAGCCAGAAAGGCTGGAGTCCCAGGACGCCGAACCTCATGTACCTGGTGTGAGGAGAGGGTGGGGAGAGGGTGGCAAGCAGCTTGCGGGAGGATTGTTTACCTGAATGAGAACGCAGAGACACCTCCTCCCTGTTGGGAAGTGGGGACAGGGCACAGCTATGACCTCTGTGGCGGTGTGGAGTGTAGGGAAGGGCCCAAGAGGCCCAGCCGTTGGGGGTAGGGGGTTGGAATTCTGCCAGCAGTTGCTTACTGTGTGCTTACTATTCCAGGAGCCAGGCTCGGCTGCAAAACTCTTCTTGGAGCTGATGGGTCTCTGGGAGGACAGAAGGCCCAGCACTAGGCAGATGTTCAGAGTAGACTCCACTCATTTCTGGGCTACCAAGGTGATTGGGGTCTATTAGGACCAACACGCTATGGGACAGGTAACTCCTAAAAGGGACACTCAGGCCAGCCTGTTGTCCCCATAAGACCAAGGCCAACTCGTTTCAGCACAGGACAGAGACTAAAGGAGCCTGTAGTTGGCCAGCACAAGTGAGGCCAGGCACACCAGCACCTGAAGATGCTGACTCTGCAGCTCCATGCCCCTGCAGCCTGGGAGTGCCCAGGCCAGCCCCCGCGTGCTCACCTGGGAGCCACCTCCGCTGGTGGCACCTCTTACCGCGTGTCTCAGAATGACTCTGTGGTCTCCTCCCACGTTAGCTTGTATGCTGTGCACACCACTTGTGTTTCTAGGCATTTCTTTTAAGTTTGTGGATTGCCCAGCTATTCAGCATCATACTCACCACCTGCCCCAGGCGTGTTAGTAGGACACGCCCCGAGCCCATTTGTCACAGTCCCAGGCTGTCCTTCCAGTTCTGCTGGTCATGTCCTGGTCGTCCTCTTTCGCCAGCTGCGAAGTGCCCACCCACTGCTTGCCAACCATCCAGCCCCAGGGGATTCCACCCTTCCACAGATGACAGCATCCTTCCTGCCTATGATCTGTTTTTCAAATGTGTCCTGTGTGCGTCTGACACATCAGTCACCTCTGGTAGATGTTGCTGCCAAGGTGCCAGGGAACCCCTGCACTGCCATCTAACTCCACCCATAGAGTTTATTGTTCAGCCCACCTCTGAAATTCCTTGACATAAGGGCCCTGCCTCATGAGACCTGTCTCTTTGTACTTGTCTTCTAAAGTGTGTTAAACAACCGTCAGTGCGGGCCTGGGACAGTGGATTATTCACTGGGACAATGAGTTATTGAATGAACTGAGGCTGCCAGTTCCAGGCTAGAGGAAGGATAAACAAGACAGAGGGGGGTCAACGGACCCCTCATGAGTTTCAGAACCCCAGCATTTACATGCAAAAGGACCCAGGGATGGCAGGGAAAATGGGAACCAGCCTGGCAGTTCATTTTGTAGTCGCAATTTCATAGCAAACACACTATTTTTATATTACATGTTTATTTGGGTCTAATACACCTACCCCACCTAAAACGTCAGCCTCCCTTGGCACATATCACTGCAGGGGTCACCACCACAGGGATCAGGCAGAAGCCAGGATTCTAGTAACTTCTGAATAATTCAACTTTATCTTGCTTGTTAGGATCCACCTGTCAACACTTCGTGCCAGCTGTGCTAATATTTGTTTTACACGCCTAATGGTGATTAATCTATTTCGTGTCCTCAAACTATTAATCTATTTGTGTCCAATGACTTTGAAGGAGGTCTAGAGGACAAGAAAAAAAGAAATCGGATGTGACAGAGATAAGACAGAGAGTCAGGGAGTGAGTAAGGCAAGATCAAGGCAGAGAGCCAGCAGGGCCAAACAGACCTACCATAGCCAGTGCTGACACAGGGCACTTTGCCAGCCTCTTGCTTCAGGCATGATGGCACAGCTCAGCGATTCTGCCCTCACCACCAGGACTGGACTAGCAGGAGCAGCTCCTGACCCCTGGCCCAAAGATCTACAATCTGTAGAAACTGTTGTAATTATTATGCTAAGGTAGATGAATGGTGAGCATTCATTCATGCAATGGGCTGTGCTAAGCAAAGTGGAAGCAAGGACAGGCTCTTTGGGGGCGGGGAGGGCAGACAAAGCTGTGACCAGGATGAGGTGGGCAGAATGTGAGGCTGAGACACCCGCCCCCCGCCTCTCCTCCCACCCTATACCCCCACCCCCATTTCTGGAGTAGACTTGGTTGGAATCCAAC